TTGAGATGGAGTCTGCTCTTGTCACCCAGGCTTGAGTGCAATGACGCAATCTTGGCTCACTGCAACCTCTGCCTCCCAGGTTCAAGTGATTCTCCTGCCTCAGCCTCCCAAGTAACTGGGATTATAGGCACCCGCCACCATGCCTGGGTAATTTTTGTATTTTTACTAGAAATGGGGTTTCACCATGTTGGCCAGGCTGGTCTCAAACTCCTGACCTCAGATGATCCACCTGCCTTGGCCTCCCAGAGTGCTGGGATTACAGGCGTGAGCCACCATGCTTGGTCTCCCTCCTCTGTTATCCATTTCAGATGCCTCTCATCCTCATTTCAGCTGGCCCCTCTGATCATCTAAATGGCTTAGCTGGTGAGGTGACCTAGACCTTTGTCTGTGGGAATTTGAGCTCCTGGTCACTATATACCTTCTCAGGTCATGGCGGACTAGCACAATTTGGCAGGGGAGTCCGCATTTTTTTCAGTTGTCCTAAGACCAGTTTATAGAAAGTCCATCTTTGCCCCAGTGATTTAAGATGCCAAGCTTTGTGAAATACTGAATTCCTTTCTTTATATACATATTTTAATAGAGATAAGGGCTTGCCTCGTTGTCCAGGCTGGCCTCCAACTCCTGTGCTCTGGCAGTCCTCCTGCCTTAGCCTCCCCAAGAACTGAGATTACAGATGTGAGCCACCATGCCCAGCTGAAATGCTGAATTTCCATACATATCTCGGTCTATTCTGGACTTTCTCTTCTCTTCTCCTAATCTGTTCAATCTATTTATGTGCCACTTCCACACTTAAGCATTTAGTTTAAATGAAGGTACTATGTGCCTTTTTAGATTTGGAGAGTTGGAGTTTGGGCCCCCACACAGGCGGGCTGCAGAAATGTGTCCTCCCTTGGAATCAGGAGGGCGACCTCCTGCCCTCACAGGCTCTCATGGGTTCCAAGCAGGGGCCCTGGGGCTGAGCTGCATGGAGTCATCTTTTGTTGACTGCAATAAAGAAACTGAGGCTGGAGTGCATTGGCTGGAACCTGGCTCACTGCAGCCTCAACCTTCTGAGATTAAGAGAGTCTCCCATCACAGCCTCCCAGTAGCTGCGACTACAGGTACATGCCACCATGCCCAACTATTTTTTTTTTTTTTTAAGACAGAGTCTGGCTCTGCCACCCAGGCTGGAGTGCAGTAGCATGAACTTGGCTCACTGCAGCCTCTGCCTCCCGGGTTCAAGCAAGTCTCCTGCCTCAGCTTCCCCAGTAGCTGAAATTATAGGTGTGCACCACCACACCCAGCTAATTTCTATATTTTTAGTAGAGATGGGGTTTCACCATATTGGCTAGGCTGGTCTCGAACTGCCGACCTCAGGTGATCCACCCACCTTGGCCTCCCAAAGTGCTAGGATTATAGTCATGAGCCACCGTGCCTGGGACCCAACTATTTATTTTTATTTTTGTAGATATAGTGTGTTACAGAAAGCTTGGAGTTTTAATTATCTAGTTTGATATTCTTACCTTAGCACTTTTCCCTTTCTCCACCCCAGAGAATTTTCGTTACCTGTGCACTCATGTAAAGGACTTGGTTTCAAGGGAAGCAGCTTCCACCGCATCATCCCCCAGTTCATGTGCCAGGGCAGTGATTTCACAAACCACAGTGGCACCAGGGGCAAGTCCATTAACAAGAAGAAGTTTGATGATGAAAACTTTATCTTCAAACACACAGGACCAGGTAGGAACCACTCAGCATGTGGTGACGAGGCTGGGCGAGGGCGGGCTGGCCGTGCAGGGTAGAAGGATGAGCCTTGGTTCCGGCCAAGAAACGGAGTCTGGAGGAGACCCCGCCACCTGTTCAGCCTTGCTAGGGTGGAGTTTGCTCTGGGCTTTGGAAAGCTTTTTTTTGGGGGGGCGCTTATTTCAGTTCCCATTTGTCTCCTTTTAAAAGAGGAAGAAGCATAGGCGCCTGGGTCTGCTTCTACAGTGGTGTCTTGTTATTGTTTTTGTAACTTTTTGCTTTATGTAATATCAAGCTCACAGAAGTTACAAGAATAGCACGATGAACCCCATACACCTTTGCTGGCATTCACTCAGGTTCACCAGTTGTTTATATTGGTGAACATCATTTCCTGTTTATTCTCCTTCTGTGTATATTTATAGACAGTGTGTATTTTTTTTTTTTTTAAGATGGAGTCTTGCTGTGTCCACCAGGCTGGAGTGCAGTGGTGCGATCTTGGCTCACTGCAACCTCTGACTACCTGGTTCAAGCGATTCTCCTGCCTCAGCCTCCCTAGTAGCTGGGATTACAAGTGCCCACCACCATGCCCAGTTAATTTTTGTATTTTTAGTAGAGACGGGGTGGAACTGTTGGCCAGAATGGTCTCGATCTCCTGACCATCATCTCCTGTAGCCGGGGCTATAGGTGCATGCCACCACACCCGGTTAAATTGTTGTGGGTTTTTTTGTAGTTTTAGTAGAGATGGGGTTTCAGTGTGTTAGCTAGGATGATCTTGATCTCCTGACCTAGTGATCTGCCTGCCTCAGCCTCCCAAAGTGCTGGGATTACAGGCATGAGCCACCGTGCCCGGCCTGACAGTGCATATTTTTTTAGAGCCATTTGAGAGTAAGTAGGAGTGTTCATGTTCCTCTACCACTAAATACTTCAGCATCTATTTCATGAGAAACAGAATATTTTTAATATTACCAGGACATAGTTATCAAAATCAGAAAACAAACACTGCTTCAATACTATTCTCTCATCTGCAGTGCATATTCAGCTTTCCTCATGTGATACTACATCATCCTTTTGGAGGTTTTCGTGGCTGGCATGTGCCCTGGACTCATGGATGCTCCGCCCATCCACCCACGCCACACTGCCCTGTTGCCTCACTCACATCCCACACGCCATCGCTGGATGCACTCTTCTTCCTCTTGCCAAGGAGCCCGCTGCCTCTCTCTTGTGCTCCTTTTACCTAGTGCAGAACTCTGTCTGCTGGAGGGGGACCTGAGCTGTCTGGTCCCCCTTGAGTTGAGGAGCTCAGGTCTTAAGGGCACCTTAAGCAATGCCCAGTGGTCCTCCCAGATTTCTGGAGGTACTTGTCATCCATGGTCTGAAGGGAAAACATGCCTTTTCTTTACCCTCAGCCCTACACCATTGCCTCACACACTCTGCCTCTCAGCTGATGGTGTCACTTATTGATAGAAACAATCAGAGGAGAACTACTCTTCCCACGGCCACATCTCCTCCCCTGGCTGCATCGTTCTCTCCTGCCTGGTCTGCTTGCCTTCCTGTAACAGTGGTGACCTCCCTTTTCTCTCCTTTTGCCCCATGGCGTCTTCTCCTCAGTCTCTTCCCTTGTCTCTTCCTTCTCCCAGTCTACATTTTTGGAGGGCCCCAGTGCTCACCATGGCTTTTCTTTATCTGTATTCACTGTTTACCTTAATAGTTCTCACCCTTTTAGCCTAGCACCTGCCTCTTACAGCTCATCTGCGCTGAGATGGAAGTGACAGCTTTACACCCTTCCATGAGTGCCTAATTAAAAACAGTATTGGCCAGGTGCAGTATCTCACATCTGTAATCCCGGCACTTTGGGTGGCCGAGGTGGGAGGATTGCTTGAGCCTAGGAGTTTGAGATCAGCCTGGATAACGTGGCAAGACCCCATCTTTACAAAAAATACAAAAATCAGCCAGGCGTGGTGGCGCACACCTGTAGTCCCAGCTACTCAGGAGGCTGAGATGGGAGGCTGGCTTAAGCTTGGGAGGCAGAGGTTGCAGTGAGCCAAGGTTGTACCATTTGCACTCCAGCCTGGGTGACAGAGCAAGACTCTGTCTCAAACAAAACACCCCACAGTATTATGCCATGGTTGTAATATAAAGGGAAATTAAAGGAAAATAATTTGTAATAACATAATGTGCATTTCGGTATTCAAATGCTTTATACAACTACATGTATAAAATATTTGAACATGTGTACTTCTGCCTAGAGCAGCAATCAGCAGTGTGGACTGATTCAGGTGTGTTGTTTTGGCAGAATCAAAGTAACATAAAGTTCTGAAATAGTAAAAATCTCTTGGTAAAATTCTGAACAAAAAGAAATGAAATGTGACAGGATGGGTTGATTTATGGAAAAAATTTGATACAAAAAATAATTGTTTGGGTTTATATGGAAAATAGAGTTAAGTTCTAGGCTCAGATCATTATAAATAGATTTTTCTTTTCTTTCTTTCTTTCTTTTTTTTTTTT